CCCCCCAGTAATTGGGGGTGTCATTATTATAACCACCACTAGGGGTCAGGCTTTGGCGCCTCTCACTTACCAAGCACACTTCTCCGGTGGGAGAGGGGCCAAGGGGATGTCTCGAGAACCCAAACGTTCAACTTTTACGGCTCCCACCCTTTCTTTCCCTGCCCTAATCCAATACTCACTTCCTCCGCTGGAGACCTCCAGCCCCTCCTCTGGGAGGGAGATACGTTCGGTCTTCTAGAAGTAGACCTAAAACAGGGCAGAGCCAGAACCCGGTGAGGCTTGGCCCTGAGCAACCCGGAGGAAGCTTTCACCCCTTCCCCCCGGAGGTTCAAGGCCCCACTGGTCCACAGACAGGCCCCCCTCAGAGGGGCGCAGATTCTGGCTAAAGGAGCTCCCTCCCTGTCCACCAGTGGCCAGGCTGTCCCCAAGCTGCCCAGTGCACTTTCCGGGCACACACTAACCCAACCCCAACATCCCGATGCTAACATGGTACCATTGGCGTACTCGCCCTCATTTACTCCTGCATTTATGCAGCCTTGGCTGCATCCAGTGGAGGTGGAGGTAAGTTCCTGCTTCACCCAGCAATTTCACACAGAGGCGTGGCCCCCAGACTCTGCGGGATTGGCCCCTGGGGCATTTGGACATTTGAAGGTGTTTCCATTCGTCAGAATAATAGAGGAGGGACAAGCCTTTAATGGGCAGGGACCAGGGGTATTTGATATTGTGCAACAAGCAACAAGGAACAGTCCTACGATTTCACCCCAAACACACTGTATTCTTTGCGTGTTTTTTTTTTTAATGTTTATTTACTTGAGAGAGAGAGAGAGAGAGGCAGCAGGGGAGGGGCAGAGAGAGACACACACACAGAACCCGAAGCAGGCTCCAGGCTCTGAGCTGTCAGCACAGAGCCCGACGTGGGGCTCGAACTCACAAACTGAGAGATCATGACCTGAGCCTAAATCAAGAGTTGGACACTTAACAGACTGAGCCACTATTTCAGAAACTGGGGTCACAGACAGTACAATAACAGTAAAAATATTCAGAAGGATACTTGTACAATGTTACCACACTGTAAGAATGTATATTATTTCCAGGTACACACATAAGAAAGGCATGAAAACATTCAAAGAAATAATAAACACAAAAATCAGGCTAGTGGGTATTTCTGGAGAAAGAAGGCTTTTTTTTTTTTTAATGTTTATTTGTTTTTGAGAGCAAGAGAGAGCACGAACAAGGGAGGGGCAGAGAGGGAGGGAGACACAGAATCCGAAGCAGGCTCCAGGCTCCGAGCTGTCAGCACAGAGCCCGACGCGGGGCTCGAACCCACAAACTGCGAGATCACGACCTGAGCCGAAGTTGGACACTTAACCGACTTAGCCACCCCAGTGTCCCCAAAATAAAATTTATATCTAAAAAAAAAAGAAAGATCCTTAATTTTCCCAGTTAAAAATAAGGGAACAGACTTTCCATCCCTCGTTTTTCTTCTAGACTTTCTCTCTCAGTTCATCTCATATGTATGCACGTCTCTTAATGGCTAAATAAGCGGCTTGCCAGACTGAAAACTCAGGAATGTTTCCTCCAGGAGCTGGGAGCCACCTCTCTGAAACATAATCATCAGGGTAGATATGGCCCCACCTCCCGGTTTCCTGGGTGGAGAGGGCTTAACGCCAGCTGTCCCTTTACTCTGAATTGCAAAACCTATCTCCCAGCACAAAGATACAAGGAAATCAGCAATTTCTCTTGAGAACACACGTGTGACGAGTCGCATCTGCCTGACTACATAAAAGACTGAGATGTCCTGGTCTTTGCAATCTCTGCAGCAGATGGCCTGTGATACACTTCACATTCAAGTTTAATGCTTATTCAATAATACAACGGTTTTCTTCCTCTTCTACCTGTATGAACAGGCTTCCTGGGTTGGGAGATTGTGCTTTTAATTATATTTCCCCAACAGGGCCCGTGTCGGGAGGCAAACGCTGGAATGTGTGGTTTGGCCAGCGTGGATTCCTGTGGGGGCCACGGCAGGGCCAGGTCCGCTGAGAGGCCTATCCTTGGACAGCCTCCCGGAACAGGGGCAAGGTCACCCTGGTGCCCCCAAGAGTTGCGTGACCTCCTCTTCTGAGTCGGAGGCGTCTCATCTGTGAAATGGTGCTGAAAAATACTTTCCTCAAAGTAGGGATCAAAGATGAGCATTGATTGGGGGTAGGGGACAGCATTCAGGGAGCAAGAACGAAGGAGGGCAGGAAGAAGGGAGGACCACTTGGCATAGAGATGGGGCTGGGGGGGACAGCCACCAGGCATTGGGGGCCATCGGAGCGGTGGTGGTACGTTTCAGGTGGGGCTGGAAGGGGAGACCAGAGCAGCAGGCAGGGGGCCAGGCAAAGGCTGTCTTCTTTGCTCCCAGGAGCTAGGTTCCGAGCTTGTATCCTTGTTACTGAGAAAAAACTCAGTAACAGCCTGAACGTGGGTGACCAGGTGAGAGAGGGACGGGGCGGGAGGTCTGGGAAGGCTCTGTGCCCAAGGAAGGGGCAGCACGGATCCACACCCTGAGCGCTAGAGACGCCCCAGCCCAAGGCCGGGGGGGAGGCAGTGGGGCCCAGCACGTGTGTGTGTGTGTGTGTGTGTGTGTGTGTGTGTGCGCGCGCGCGCGCGCGCGCGCCCCTGACTCAGCAGGGACCCCCGGCGGGCTGGGGTCAGAGGCAGAGTAGACCCTAGGGGTGCTGGCTGGGGCTCGCTGGGCCGCGATGACCCCGCAGGCACCCGGCCGTCCCCGGGCAGGGGCGGGGCGCATGGCCGGGCTCCCGGCGCCCGGGGTTCGGTCCCACGGGCGGCCCAGGGCGGGGCGGGGCGGCCCCAGGCGGGCTTAGCGCACCGGACAACACTAACGCCCGGGCCAGCAAATCTTTTGTCCGGGGCGGCGCTGACCCAGCAGGGCGCCGCCCGCTTATAAAGGGGCCTGCAGCCCGAGGGGCGGGGACACCATGGCGCAGTGCTCCGGCAAGGTGAGTGTGGTCCCTACCGGCCCGCCCGACATTAACGACGTTACCCACACTGCGTTCCACTTTTCCCCCGTTCCGGGGAGGCGGGGGCCAAACCTAACTCTTTGCACCGTTCGCCCTTTGCATCTAACAGACCTGAGCGAAATTGGCAAAATGTCCTACCCAAACCGGGCGCCCTGGCCTCTCTGGTGTGGGAGGTGGGAAGGCCCCGTCCCCACCCCCTCCATCAGTGGCTCTGGAGAGGTTTGAGGGATCCTGGAATCCTGTGGGTGACTAGTTCTCCCTAAATATCTCTGGGCCATCGGCCAGGCCTGTCTTGGGCAGGAAGGTGGCAAATTTGGATCTCCCCCAACCATTCTCGCTGGCTAATCCGATGCAGCCTCTGTCTCCAGGGGCCGCATTCAGGGTTAGTGCGTGAGCACATTATTCAGTCTGCACTGGCTAGGTTATGCGTCAGTAACAGACAACCCCCAAGAGCCCCTCGCGCCCCTGCACACCCTCCCCCAGGCCCAGAGGCACAGCTGGGGAGTCACGCCCTGGGCTCTCAGAGCTTCTGCCCAAGGGGTCCAGAAGGGAAGTCCTTGGCATGGGCACAAATGATTACACCGGTTACCAGGCCCCAGGAAACGTTAATTTGTACTTTGCCAGGGCCCTTCGAGGCACACAATTCTTGAAAACCAGATAGTTACTGAATGGTTGGAGTTTCAGGGTCCACCGCAGTAAATGAACTTTGGGGTTGATAGCGTGCATGGTGTTTAGTTTAGGGACAAGGAGAACCTGTCTGTGCTACGTTGCCGTAGGACATGGTGTCTGAACTGCCCACCGAGTTGGTAATGTTCCAGATCTGACACATGCCTGTCACCCACAGGAGAGGCCTAGTACACAAAGGGACGAGTTGCATTGAAAAAGCCCCCTTTTTAGCCATTAATCCCTGCACCAGGCTCTGACTGGTCTCCCTGCATTCAGTGTCTCCCGTTAAGGGGCCTGGTCCCAGGCACCCGACTTTCTGAAAATTCATTGTTTGGTTATGATGATGGGGTTGTGGGTGAAATGCTTTTTTTCTGAAAACACTTGGATGTTAGGTTTTAACAATGAACAAAAATTGAGTGTAAAGAATGCAGTGGGAGGGGCGCCTGGGTGGCTCAGTCTGGTTGAGCGTTGACTTCGGCTCAGGTCGTGATCCTGCAGTTGGTGGGTTCGAGCCCCGCGTTGGGCTCTGTGCTGACAGCTCAGAGCCTGGAGCTGCTTCGGATTCTGTGTCTCCCTCTCTGTCTCTGCCCCTCCCCTGCTTGCACTCTGTCTCTCTCTCTGTCTCTCAAAATTAAACATTAAAAAAAATTTTTTTTAATGCATTGCGAGTTTGAAAGGAGCCTGTTTTCAAATGGGCCAGGGACAAAGGGGGAATCCCTGTCCCCAGATATTTTCTGAAATTTGGTTGCTCAACCGTGAGCTCCTAGAGTAGGGAGGGCCAGGCCCTGGACCTCAACCCACCTTACATTCATTCCTTCACCCAGCTAACAGTGTTGAGCCCCTGCTGTACGCAGCTGGCCTGGGAATCAGGGTTCAATCGAGGGTGTTGGACCCCAGCTGTCTGCTCCCAAGACTGAAAGGAGAAAGCCCCTGACCCTGAGCCCTCTAACCTGGCCTTTCTAGATCACCTTCTATGAAGGCAAGCACTTCACGGGACGGAAACTCGAGGTCTATGGGGACTGTGACAACTTCCAGGACCGAGGCTTTATGAACCGGGTGAACTCCATCCGCGTGGAGAGCGGAGCCTGGGTCTGCTACGATCACCCCGACTTCCGGGGCCAACAGTTCATCCTGGAGCACGGCAACTACCCTGACTTCCTCTGCTGGAACGGCCACAACGACCACATGGGGTCCTGCCGCCCCGTGGGGATGGTGAGTGGGCCTCTGGCTGGGGGCCTCCTGCCAGAGTGACCGAGGGTCCGTGCTGCATGGTCTTCCCAGCTTTAAGATCTGATGAGGCTGTGGGATGTTTTAAAAGGCAGAGATGCCCCCCCCCCAACAGACCCGCCATCTCCTCCCCCCCCAACCCGTGTGTGGGCTGGCATGGGAATGAACAGGAGAGCCAGAGCCAGCTTCTAGAAGTCCTGTTTGTGTTTTTGAGAGAGTGGGGGAGGGGCAGAGGGAGAGGGAGAAAGGATCCCAAGCAGACCCCAGGCCCAGCACAGAGCCCGATGGAGGGCTCGATCTCACGAACCGTGAGGTCATGACCTGAGCCCAAGTCAAGAGTCGGTCGG